GCGCAGACGTCAGGGTATCGGGGAATATGGGGTTTAATTACAGGTAAGGCAGGCAAAACGCAGATCGACAATACAATGACCGGACTGGGGAACAGCTGATCACACAGGGATTCCACACGGGGTTAATGAGGGGGGCGTGGCACACAGAAGCAGTGGACGATTGGGGCAGGACACATTGTTTGGATACATTTATTTTCTTACTTTCCAAATTACTGTTTCGATAAATGTGCTTAGATGTGTTTAGTACAGTATATGCTCTTCTTGTTTTATCCGGTTCATTTTGTGTTTAAATGCTAAAAAAAAACATATTTTGGTGTAATTTTTTGGGGCCGGGAACAAATTCATTGGTTTTCTATTATTTCTTATGGGGAAAATTCAATCAGAACTTGAACTTTTTAGGATTCAATCCGGAGTTCTGAATGGATTTAGTTCAGTTCTGAGATACCACTGTAATGTGAAATCTACATTGTTTACAACAGCTGACTGCAATCTTATGATCGGCTGCCAAAGCTTTATATAGTGACGTGTAAGGAAATCGGTACCATTTGGTTGCATCAGTTTTTCTGCCTCAGGAATGCTGGTCCCATTGGGCTCCCCTGGACAGAGCAGACACAGAGTTATAGGTCTGACTAAAGCAGTGCCAGTCAACCAAGCAGTAAAGCTTTAGTCTGAGACAAAGTCATAAGGGGCTTTCTGGGGTGGGGGGGTTGAAGCTGGCCTAGGGCTCCCCTTGGGCTTCGGCCGGCACGGGGTAAAGGGCTTCATTTGCTTTTAAGAATGACTTAAGCAGGTAGCTAATTAATGACGTTAAGAGCATGACAAAGGCGGGACTCTATAGATACTGTTACTGATATATAAGGAAATCATTACCATTTGGATGCATCAGGTTTTCTGCTTCAGGAATGCAGGTCCCATTGGGCTCCCCTGGACAGAGCAGACAGAGTTATAGGTCTGACTAAAGCAGTGCCAGTCAACCCAACAGTACAGCTTTAGGATAAAAGGGGTAAAGGGTTTCATTTGCTTTTAAGAATGACTTAAGCAGGTAAGTAATTAATGACTTGAGTGTCACTGTCATAAAGCGTTATAAACATGACAATGGCAGGGCTCTATAGATACTGTCACTGACATATAAGGAAATCATTACCATTTTCCAGCGGCTGTGTTTCCAACTCTTTGTCCGTAGTGGTGGAGCTTCTACTGGAGGTCACTAGACAGAGCAGACAGAGGTACAGAACTCAGTGCCTGTAACGGGTTTGGTTTGCTTTTTAAACTTGACCTAAACAGGCAACTAAGTAATGAATTAATATCAGGAGTATTTCTGACAACGATTTAACAGTTACTTTCTGGATGCCTTCATTAGAATTCATCTCACCTCAAAGTTATTCATAACCTGATAATTAATCTTTGGTCCAAAACTTATTTTACCTTAAAACTAATAACCATATATTCCGATTTTTTTTTACAAATCTCATAAGCAATTTCTTTTTAATCCAGATAAATGAAACAAATATGAATTATAAAATGCTGTATTTTTTAAGCTTTTTATGTGTTTTTGTCAGGGTGGGTGCCCATCAGACCCTGCCCTTCTGTGTTCCTTCCCTGTTCTGATCAGCATTACCAGCTAATAAACCTATTTTGTCTGGGAGCCACCAGTGGATCATCACCCTCATTTCCTTGCCTGCACCTTGCCCTGCTGTGACAGTTTTAGCCAAGTGGGGAATTAAATCTACAATATCCACACATATATATAGGATGTGTAACAGATGCTCATCTGATGAACAGTGGTTCAACATAAATATATCTAGTATTAAATGACGTAGAAAGCATTACCAGTGGCAGGAAAACAATTCCCTATAAGAAGGGAAAAAAACTACAAACTACTCGTTACTATAAATCTCTGTAATATTTAATGAAATGTTGTAGAGAGCATTACTACAACCAGTAGAGATGACGTTGTGAAGGTCTGAACAATTTATCACACCATTAACTCCAACTGCCACCTTCAGGTTTCTTTCATTAGAATATATCTCACCCCAAGACTGATAAAATTTCATGACCTGGAAATTAACCTTTTGTCCAAAACCTATTTCACTTCGTAAAACTATTATATTCAATACATTTACAAATCTCAATACCATTTCATTTTACTGTAAATAAATATGTGAATAAAAAAACTGAAGTGTAAAATGTAACATTTACATTTATTCATAACACTTTTTATTACGTTTTAGCCATATGGAAAATTATGATACTAGAGACTAACCACTGCTGGACATAGCGTTGTTCATCTGTATTTTCAAAATGAATAGAACTTGATTATTAATAGTGTAATGGAAACGTAATATGGGTTGATTAAACCACATTACATGCATAGAGCTTAAGGCCCACAGTACAATACTGTCCCATAATAATACAACTGTTTTGAACACAGGTAAGTCTAGACAAAAAAGATTAAATTAAGAAATAAAGGAAGTTCCCAAAATATTATAAACACAATAATTATAAATGGGAGAAGTCAGCAAAGACAGTGAAGGTAAAAATATTTAAAGCATAGGAACAATGTTTATTAAAAGCAAATCAGACAAGTTTAAACAGTTTGTGAAATTAAATCTTTTTCCATAACTTACCTTTCTTTTTATATCTTAGAACCAGGAACACAGCAACAATGGCCACAATGCAGCAGATGAGTAACACCAAGGCAACAACAATGGCAATCATAGTTACCTGGTCCGATTCAGGTTCTGTCAACAAAAAGTTTCATGCATATTAAACTTCCAAAAAAAAGTAATTATTTAAAAATCATCCTCATCAGCATCATCAGAGACCACAGCCACCCATCACGCCGGCTGTTCAGTCTGTTACTATCCGGAAGGCGATACAGTAGCTTGGTTACTCAGAATACCAGACTCAAGCACATTTTTTACCACATTTTTTAGGCCATCGGATTCCTGAATTCCAACACTTAAAACTACTCAAAGATGTACTGGTATATAAAATGTACTGGTATATAAAATGTACTGGTATATACAATTATTCACCAACGTGCAGTTATTGATAATAAGTCACTTTCTCAATGTGCAACACTGGTGCCTGCACTACTACTTACTTTATCCAAGTTCCTGTTTTGCTTGTTTCTCAATTGTTACCAAAATGATTTCCAGGCACTTTTTCGAGTTAGGTGTTTGATGGGACAATCGACCACTATGTGAATATCTATGTTAAATACTTTTCCTCAGCTGAAGTAACTTCAGGATGCAAAATCAGCTAGTGCAATTTGCCTAAAATGTGCCAATCATGACAGGTGACTGCTGTTCACCATTTGTTCCCTAACTGACCGGGAGGACATAAAAATTTTTATAAACTACGGAATGAATCATGCAGCTCTGAAACTGGATTGGAAAAATAAAAAAGTGACAAGTACCCCATTTGCCAGCAGCGGTAACATCTCCCCTGTATGTTACTTTGTAACGATATATATCCAAGTCAGACTTGAGTATCTCAATCGACTTCTTCAGCTGGTACGTCTTTGCTATCGTCCCGTCAGCACTGAATTCACTGGGTCTGATCCCTGTTGAAGTCACCCCGTCAGCTTCAGTCATGTGGTCGTCATTCCTGTAGATGTCGACTTCCACATCTCTGGTGTGCAATCCAGTGGCCAGGCAGTGAAGAATCACTTTGCCGGGGGTTTTAGTGGTTTTAGCACGTGAATAAACCCCGGGAGCAGCTAAAAGTAAGAAGAGAAGATTAAAGCATGACGATCTGTCAGAAACTTTAAGTTAATGGAATCTGAATCAATGTTACAGAAAAGGCAACCATGTGTTTAAATATTACAGTGTATGCAGATCAACATAGAATTTGAACAGCGAAATTGCTAACTATACATACGATAAAAATGTCATACAAAATATGAAAAATGCAATTTAGCAATTTCTCCATACAAACCAATTTATCATTATAATTTATTTAAAATAATATGTAAAGAGATAAAAGCCAGTGTTACTGACATTGATTTTTCAGGTCCTTTTCTCCATAGCCCATGAATTTACTTAGCCAGTCCATGCACTCCCTCTTTAGGTATCCCTCTGTGTACTGGTTGAGGGTTTGTGAGTGGTCCCATTTCATTTTGGTGGGCACAGCTTGTGAAACTGGGGCGACCCATTGCAAATGTCCCGGATCAAAGGAGAGGAAGTCCCCACCATCATAGCTATACTGATCAAAACCATCGCGAAAGGCCAGTGTGCCATCAGGCTGAGGTTCCCCCTGACAGCCATGCCTCCACTGCAGGACATGGAGACCTGAGGGAGACAATGAGAATGACACAGGTCACAGAATTCACTGTATAAACTATCCAGCTTAGCAGTGTGCAAACTTTCTCAATGTGCCAGAAAGAGTAGACAGTCCCAGCTTTGATATAGTAACACGGTTCACTTACCACTGTAATTGTGGTTCATTCGGTTCATCAAAATCTCAACATTGACTTTGAACCACTGCTCCTTGCTCTTGCGAGATGAAGTGCCTTTATCCCAGTAATTATCATCCAGTCTCTCAGACATCCATGTCTGCCTGGGAATCTTGGTTTTGTCCTTGCTGTTGTAGTAGTCAATCTGTTCGTTATCCAGAATCCCCATGGCGGTGAACTCATACACACCAGGAACCTCCACAGGCTTCGACAGGGCAGTGTAGATGTATTCCAGAGTGTGTATTTCTGCAAAGGAAGAAAGATACATGGGTAATTACTCCAGGCATCCAATGCACTCCTTTTGATCAATGTTCCCTGTAAGCCAATGTTTCCCAACCCGGTCCTTGGGGACCCCTAGAAAGTCCACATTTTTTCTCCTTCCCAGCTTCCAACCAATCAAGAACTCAGAATACCTGGCATGGGTGTGTTGGGAGCCGGAAGAAAACAAAAATATGGACTGTCTGGGGTCCCTGAGGACTGGGTTGGGAAACATTGCTGTAAACTGTGTTCGATTGCTTACTACTCTGGGCTACTCCACTCATAACCAGAGACAGATCTAAGGGGTGGCATGATTGCTGTATTTTCATGTAAAATTTGAAATAATAATTATACCCTACTAAACTAATTAATGTTGTAACATATTTTTGGTATAAATCTGTCAGCCAATCAATGAACATCACATATTTTCTGAAAGCACATCTCTAAGTCATCCAAGTCATCTTGAAAGTGATTATGTGTTACTCTACTGAGGACTGAATTTTCCCAGCTCAAACTTGGAATTTTAGCACCTACAGAGGTGGATAGTTTGGGTCCAGTAAGTAAAATCAAACAACACTGGGTTATAGAACTTGCTGCAAGCAACGAGCTAAGAATTAGAGGCATATAAGGTTTTGTTTGAACCAACCAGTTGCGTACTCTGTGACCACTTAACTGGTTGGTTGAAACAAAATCTTGGTCTGGATTTTTACTTTCTGGACCTGAACTATCCACCTCTGACTACCTAGCTATGTGCCTGCTTAGTAAAAAAAAATTCTGAGAAGGTTAAAGCTTGTTATTTTAAAACATAGCTATGTGCTTACCCCCTGAGGTTCCTACTCACCTATCTGTAACAGTACTATAGCAAAACAGACTGATGTGAAACTATTTCAGCCGGCATAACATCTCAGCTCTGTCTCACTTCTTCATCAATTATCTGTCTCATTTGACCTCAACTCAGTATCTAGATCTTGAACTAAAAACTTAATTGATTGTTTTAAAACCCCCCCAAACTAACTTTATATATTATCCGACTACTATAAATAATGTGTTCCTGTCACACGGTAAATAACACGAAAATAACACAACAAAAATTATGTTTCCTACAATGAGTCGGTTTATTCTATACCTACAGTATTTTATATGCCTTAATAATTAAGTTTACTTTTATAATGCTACAAGCAGTGTTTCTTGTAACGATATAATTGCAGGGTAAGTGGTTAAATTGCTACAAACATTACAATTTGGTCAGTTTGTAAATAAATAAAAAATTGTGATGTATGTCGTGTGTCGTAATTGTGCGCACAACTTGTGTGTCACGCCCTGATCGTGTTGTTCCTCCTGTGTACCACCTCCCTCATTTACCTCGTGTGGTATCCTCCTGCTTACCAGCTGTTTCTAGTTTTGTCTAATTATTGTGTGTATTTCAGCACTTCCCTGTTAGTCTTTCCTCGGTCTGGTCATTAATGTCTTATCGTCGCTAGCTCTCTGTGTTCCTGATTATGGCATGTAAAATAAATCCCATGTTCTTTGCCCCACACCTTTGGACTGCTGCGCCTGTCTCCCTGCCTTGCACTCCCGTTTTGCTTTCGCGTGCGCATGGTTTTTTTCAGGGGTTCCGTAATAAGTTCACTATAGAATTCAAATATTACTTAATACGCTTTGTTGGAGTATCTTTTCAGAACGTAACAGATCCTATGGGCCGAATGGCCTCCTCTCGTTTGTATAGTTCTTATGTTCTTATGTTCTATCACATGTCAAATCATCTGAATGTGGAAAAGCATCTGGTTCAACCACTGCATAAAATATAGAGACAAGCACCAATAATAATCATGCTCATCAACATACTTTTCACATAGGCAAATTAAATTCCCATCATTAGGTAACCAATAACTACTTTTTAACATAGGTGTATTTTAAATTACCCCAGATACCAATTTAATGAACGAAAAATACTAATATTCCCCACATTTTAAAAATGAATTTCATTTTGCACTAAAAAAAACAGACTTACTGCCACGTTACCATATATAGAATACTAATAAAATGACATAGTACATACAGGCTACCGAATATATATTATAGTGGGTATAGAAAAGAATCACTGCTTTTTCAAGATACATGTTGTTGCTTTGCAGCCTGAAAAGGACACACACACACACACACACACACAAATATTTCCCAGCTGTATTTACTCAATGCAGCTTATAACAGCCAAGTGAAAGATGTAATAGCAACAGTTCAGAAAATAAAGGAACGCCCCCCCCCATGTCAATACTTTGCAGAACCACATTTGATTACGGTCATGAGTCTGTTGAGATACTTTTCTACCAACTTTGCACATCTAGACTGTACAACATTTGCTCTCTCTTCTTTACAGAACTGTGCAAGCTCAGTCAAACTGGATGGTGACCGTTGGTGGACTGCAATCTTCAAGTCATTCCAGAGATTTTCAGTAGGGTTTAAGTCTGAGCAGGGGCACTGCTAAGGATTTTGGGCCCCATGAAAAGAATCTTGACATCTTAACATACTGTCGACCCTTTGCCTCTTTCACTTGTCTTATTTTTTTCTCTTTCCGTTTTTGGCTTCCAGATTTTTGAGGCATTTTCACTTCTGCCGGCGCTATAAGTGAAGTCAAGCTGTTGCCTGGATACAATTTGGGCGGACTGAACCATTTTATGATAATTGAGAGGGGGAGAGGGGCTCACGGACGTTTGTGTTTCCTAAACAAACACATTTTTTGACACCAGGAAACAGCAAATAGAATAATTTTAAGTTAATAATTTTTACTATCAGCACCACAATTTTATTGGGGGCTTCTCTGGGCCCCCTCTCAGTCATGGGCCCCGAGAATCGTCATCGTTTACCCCCCCTTTACAGCGCCCCTGAGTCTGAGCTCTGATTAGGCCATGCAAGGACATTCAGCTTTCTCTCCTTCAGCCACTGTGTGGTCAGCTTTGCTGCGAGCTTTGGGTCATTGTCATGTTGGTAGATGAACCTTCTTCCCATTGACAACCTTCTGGTAGAGGGCAGCAGGTTTTCCTGAAGAATTTGATGGTATCTCGCCCCATCAATTTTCTCCCTTTATCTCAGCAAGTGCCCCAGTCTCTGCTGCAGAGAAACACCCCCACAACAGGATGCTACCACCTCCATGCTTTACTATTGGTCTGGTGTTCTTTGGATGCCATTGGATTACTGCCAGATATACCATTTGGCGTTGAGGCCAAATGGTCCCAAATCTATCAGACACCTTTTTTCCATTTGGCCTCAGAATCTTCAAGTTGCATTTTGGCAAAGCTCAATCAAGATGGAGCCTTTCTTGAAGAGTGGCTTTTTTTCTTGTAACCCTCCCATACAAGCCACATTTATGGATCCTTTGTGATATTATCGTCACATGCACACAATAAACACTCTTTGCCAAAAATTCCTGTAGCTGCATCAAAGTTGCCACCAGGTTCCTCCTCACTCTTCCGTCCAGTTTGGAGGATGGCCTGAACTGGGAAGGGTCCTAGTAGCACCGAATCCTTTCCACTTCTTGATTATGGACTTTACTGTGTTCATAGGGATTGATAAGCCTTTGAATTTTTTTGTATCCATCTCATCACTCGGGCTTGTCCTGAGATCATTTGACAGTGCCTTGCCACCCATAGTTGATTGTTTGCTTTCAGTTGCACTAACAAGCACTAGAATGCCTTTGGTATAGCTGTTTTTATACTGAACTCATCAGAATGATTACAATTGATCGCAGGTGGAAGCCAGTTAGCTTGGCGCGCGATGGAGAAGTTTACAGGTATCTGTTAGAAGTGATTCTGTTTTTTATTTTTTCTTTCTGAACTGCTGCTGGGGTTGCTAGTGGGATTGGGAATGTGAAAAACTTCACATTCTTCTATTCCGTTTAAATTACTGTGCTGCTGAGGTATCACTCACTGCACGGCTGCGCTCGGGTTCTCGTCCCTGAGGTGGTTTGTCGCGTGGTGGGTGCAGCAACGCGCTATCAGCACACGCTCTATACCTCTACCTGCTGCTACTCCAACTCTCACTTCACTGTTATAAGTTGCATTGAGTAAATAAAACTGGAAAAATATTTTTGTGTGTGTGTCTTCATTTCAGGCTGCAAAGCAAGAAAAATGTGAACATTTTGAAGTTGTGATTCTTTTTCATACCCATTGTAAATTTACTGTAAATTTACTTAAGGCTGTGATGTAACTAAAAAAAAGTTTCTAAAAATATTATACAAGGACTTCTGCATTCCAGCTAAATCTAAAGCTTTGGAATGTATGAAAGCATCTGGCTGAACCACTTCACAGAATGTGAAACCAACACAGATAAGAATCATATTCATCGATATACTTTTTTAACATATTGAATTTTAAACATTAGGTAACCAATAATTAAACTTTAACATACTAGACATGTTAAAGTGTGAGGTAAATATATTAGTTTTCTTCTTTAAACTCTCATAATTCTGTAAATATCGTTTCTCTGTTCATGTAGTCCATTTTTACAAGTTGTTTCCAGAGTTAAATTAGTACTGTTTGTGTCAGTAACCCATGTATAACTAGTATTGTAACGGTTATTTACGATTAAATGAATAAAAATAAATTTTAAAAATAAATAACATTCAATCTAAATTTACTTTTACTTTCTTTTTATTATTAAACCAGGCTCTGGTGTTTTAATACAGGTCAAAATAACTTACCACTCCCCACTACCGAAAAACAAGTGAAAATCAGAAAGACGACTCCAGAATCCATGTCCGGGTATTTTAATCTAATTCGTGGACAAGAAAGTAGTTTATGATTATTTCAGTGTCCGTAAGCAGGACACTCACACCAGGAGAGCCCGTCTGTGCTTCTGAGTTTGGTTCCTGAGCTGCTGGTTTATATATTGACCAAGCCGCACCGAGCGCTCGCTACGTCACAGCTGTCAGGGCTCCAGGCTGAGATGCGAGCTGCAGTACTATCGAAACAAATCGTACATGCGTTAGAAAAAAAAAGTATTTTCGTTGTTAAAAACAGAATAATCATGAAATCCACTTTCAATTCAGACATAATAACTGAGTAAATTGCTGGTAATTTCATAAACGGCAATCGTACTGATTGTTTGGGGGGGAGGGGGAATTTTCACATTTCCCTGTCAATTCAGGTACAATGTGTCAATACACGCCCATGTTTTACTATTTACGACAGTCCACTCGGGAAAGGCGTACTAATTCCTTCCCCCACAAAACTTTGTTTAACTTAAGAATAGTACTAACAGTTTACATTACATGACAAAAATATGCATTAAATGAATATTTTAATATATTAAAGTATTAATATAAAACACAGAAAAACAACAAACAAACAGGAGTATCTATTTATTACATGTCTGTTTTATGTTTATTCTTTCACACATTGTACTTATTTTTATTGCTTTGGAATTCTTTTTTATTTTAAATAGGAAGCAAACTCTAAATACGTTACAGAATCTGGTCTTTCTTTAGCCCATTTGTGTAAATATTTGTCATATATTAGGTCTATGAAAAGATTAATGAAGAGCATTCTGTTTGACTTTTGATTATTTTCAAACTAAAATAATATGTCCGTAAATGACAATTTGACATACAGTACATTTCCAGTCATTGTTTTAATGTGATATTCAAAATCGCGCCAAAAAAACGCAGCCTAACCCTCCGCTACAGTACTTTAATAACATATTGTGTCACCTCTTTTCTATCACGTCACCAGTAGTTTGTGATGGACTGCTCCCGATATCGAATCAGTTGGTTAAACTGCTGGGTTGCAATACATGCGACATGAACTTACGATCATTTACTTTTCCTGCATTTAATCAACCAAAAGAAGAACAAATTTCATTTTATTCATCATGCTTACATAAAAAAGCATGACACATCAGGACTAGGATGAAACTCCTACTTTGATTGGAATTAAAACACCTCCAATGCACAAATGTAAACACATCATCACTCCATACTTCTCAATTTCCTTTAATTCCACACCTACTTCTATGCTGCACTATTATTAAGGCATAAGTGTGTGTTGGCTCTAACCTGGGGGCCCTAATCTGTACTGTTTACATTCGTCAGCGATGCCCCCCAGGAAGTGCCCTCTATACTCTCTCCTATACAGACTCTTGCTACATCCCTCACTAATCTCTACGAATGCAGCCCTGAAGAACCTGTCAAACTGGATTGCTCAGGTGTTTTTCATGTCTAGCCACATCCCCTCCCAGCAGACGATCGTCTTGGTTGTTTACCATTTTACTACAGCGTCTACTAAACTCCAGTGTGTGACGATCCAGTTCAGTCTGACGGTTTGTGCAATCTTTGTGAATTTTGCCTCCTGGTTACTACCTAATTTTCTGTCCTGCCCATGTTCTGCACATTGCCTAAGCCCTGCCTGTCCCTCAACCTCGACTTTGTCCGTCGATTTGGCTTGCTTGTTTCCAGTTTCCAATTCTGCCCTGTTTGACCATGGCGTTTTTGCCTGTCCTTAATTAAAGACACTATTTTGAGTAGTTTTCTTGTTTGTGCTCGAGTCCTATTTGGGCCCAAACTGTAACTGTAACTGTAACTGTAACTTTCCTCCTTTCACCTGCACACTTACTTTGGACCTTGCACGCCTTCTTCTGTTCAGGTCCTGTCCTTGTTGTTTTCCTTCTTTTGTGATTATGTTCCCTAATACACTTATTATTTAGATTACTGATCTATAATCACTTGGACATAGAATTTTCTATTCGCTTTCATTTAAAGAAAGTGCAAGTTTTATCTAAACCACCTTTGGGTGTTATCATGTTTCTGGTGGGACTCACAGATCTGTCCTATCTCGTGACTGACACAGATATCACACATAAAATTATATCGAAAGCCGTGCTTTAGGCATCTTTAAAGTATTAGTCGAGCCCTTAAGAGGTATTAAAATGTTTGACCACTGTGGAGTTCTTCTGCTATTTAGAATAAAAAAAAAAACAAAAACTCATTTGTAAAAAAATCAGAGGAGTAAAATGCCCTAATACTGAATATATGACTATATACAAATACAAGAACTGTAAACTAATGATAGTCTGCAATGTGGCTCAAACATTTGTTCCAAGCTCTGTTGTGTTCAGAAATAACTGTAAGCTGGATAATTAACAACAGTGAGTACAAGTATAACGACACAATCTAATGATAATTTTCGCCAGTTTCTTCTTTGATGCCAGACTCCTCTAATTCAAAACTTGTTAATGGACAGAGTCCAGCCCTGACCTCCGTACTGCTGTCAAAATAAAAAGAATCTTTGAATCCTTGTGACTGCTGATAGGGACTCTGCGGTGCTTCCTCCAGAGGTGCCGTCAGGAGGGACAGCTCCAGCTGGTCGATGGTGCTGGTCTCACAGGCCAGTGGCTGCTGGGAGTTTGTTAAACACATGGAGGCTGATGTCGTGGTGCTGGCTGGAGGAGGGGCTGGGGAACCGCTCTGTGATTCATTGATGGAAAGGGAGCGTCTGAGTTTGGCTCTAGCATTCTGAAACCACACCTTAGGGGGTTCGAGAGCGCAAAAGGCCTAGTAAATGACCAGCCTATCAATCCTCATCAATTATAACTTACTGTCACAGAAAAAAATGTGCCCAATATTGAAGGGTATTAACGTATATGAAACAAAAACACAGTGTCTTTAAGTAATTCTTCTCCTCAAATATTAGTCTATTTAGGTACTATTTGTGAAATATCAGCAACTGGTCTTACGTTCAGGGTTGCTGCAAGGCATGTGGAAGAGAAGCAATCCCACTCTTTCGACATAAAGCTAAGAACTAATCAGAAATATGATACGGCGAACATGTGCTAGGAAACATTTATATGACATAACTGGTTATAATCATCACCTACCTGCAAAACCCTCTTTGGAAGACCTGTTTTATATGACAGGGAGCTCCAGTCTTTTCCGTTTGGGTTGTGTTTGAGGGCAAAGTAGGATTCCATGGCTCTTAGCTGCTCACTGCGAAAGCATGTCCTGATCCGCTTAGCTCTGGCCTGGGTCTTGTCCCCGGCTGCCCCCTCCCCCGGTTGAATCTCAGGGCTGCTAACTGGCTCCTCACCATCTCCTGAATGAACCAGAAAAGACATGTGATATTGTTCTTTTTCTTGTTTATATTATATGTAGCTAATATTTTATTTCCATTTACAGACGTGGCTGTGTAACGACATTCTGGTCATTGACATTCTGGTCATTGAGTTGGGCACCCCTGTCCTATAGCCTAGGTGTGTAACAGGTTATACCACCTAAGATCGTGTCAGTACACTGCAGGATATTCGCACAACAATAAAATCCCTTAACAGCACATTTCTAAAATGTATCCCTGTTGTTAGGTGACACATGACTATATTCAATTGAATCAGGAAGAAATCATTTTACATGCAATTAGGCACTGAGCCTTTATCGAGTTATTCTTAATGAAAATGCATATTGAATGATTAGTAAGAAATGGCACATTCGTTTTTCAGTAACTTCACAATGGGCTTATATATATATATATATATATATATATTAATTCTTCACCCTCTTTATGTCTAAGTTGACAGTGCTGAGACAGGTTTGTCATGCTGCTGCCATGGTAATGAGCTTCACAATACAGGTTCCTCCCATGTAAGAAGTACAGGCTTCCAGGTAGCAAAATGACATTACATTCCTGGGAAGAGATTGCAAAACACAGAAGTGAAAGAGATTTCACCAACATACACAGACAGTATATTTATATAATATTTTTACTATGACAATTCATATCTAATTATTATTTTGGTTAATTTATTTTTGATATGACTGATACAGTTATTGCAGCCTGTCATTTTACATAATCGTTTGTCACACAAACCTTTTCTGTAAGATATTTAAGCATTTTAAGATATACTGTACCAGTGCAAAGTTTGGACACACCTACCCATAGAAAGGTTTATTTGTACAATTCTCTACATTTTTGAATAATTATAGAGACATCAAAACATATTTGGAATTATGCACTGACCAAAAGAGTTTAAAAAATGTTGTTGGGGGTAGCTCAGAAGGTTGCTGGTTCAGATCCCTGGGTGAGCAGAGGGATCCCACCACTGGGCCCTTGAGCAAGGCCCTTAACCCCAGTTGCTCCAGGGACTGACTGACCCTACATTCTCCTCTACGCCAGATTCATGAGGTGGCCTCCTGGGATGCTTTTCCAGCTCCTGAAGGAGCTCCCATATATGTTGAGTACTTATTGGTCACTTTTCCTTCACTCTCTGGTCAAACTCTCCCCAAACCATTCCTACTGTGTTTAGGTGAGGTGGCCAGGTCATGTGATGCAGCACTCTATCACTCTCCTTTGTAGGTGGTTTGGCGTGTCCAAGTTTTGACTGGTACTGTATTAGCTTGTCCTGCTTCTAGATGTATGAATTGATGTGAATGGAAAAGAAAAATGTGCGACTTCATAATCTCTCGACTGACCTGGCAGGTAAAGCAATGAGGATGAAATGTGAGAGCCCCAGACCTCATGACCAAAGTGGAAGATGGGATTGGTTGGGCACACCGAGCACATGCCCCCACACTGAATAAGCTGGCCATATAGGGAAAATGCAAACAAAACAAAAGCAAAAAAATAAAAGGCTTTAAAACAGATAAATAATTTTTTTGAAAGTCTCAGAATACCAAAAATTACTGTAATGACCAGCAGGAGCAGAAGTGTTCAAACGCATGGTTGAGAAATCATTACTATCCACCTCTACATCTATAGTTGTTCAGTAGGGCAACATGTGGCTGGCACAGAGGTTTGATCATGTAATCATAAAATCAGAGTAAAACACTGCAACCTGTAGTAATCCTGCTGACAGTAGATTTTCCCATCCCTACAGAAGAGGGAGGGATGCATCTGCAGTTCACACTGACACAGGCTGCAGCGCAGACAGGTGCTGTGCCACGCCTGCCCCACGGCATACAGGATGAACCGGTCCCAGACACGACCTCCACAACCACCGCAAGACATATCGCCCTCTAGTGGCACAGTTGGAGACTACAAAGGAAACACAGGTCATCAGCTTCATGCAATGGAGGACAATGAAATGACCCAACAAAAATCAGTAAATGATTAAAATTTATAATTTTATGTAAGAAAATTTTCCATGTCTGTAAAATGTAATCATGTACATGAGGGCTGTGGTTGGATTTTTACTAAAACCAATTCTGAAGAATTACTGCACGCCCCCTTGTGGCAGCTCCAAAAATGCATGTAATTCACAGATACGAGTAAACCTATATATTTTTTGCCTTAATTTTTTTTTTAAATACTGCTAAACATAAATCCCATAGACTAAATTAACATTTTCACAACCAATAAATCCACTTTAAACTGAGAATTACCAGAAATCTGAATATAATTTTATAACAATTCGCCAGTAACCTTAGTTTACGATATATAAAGGAAAAGCAGTAAAAATGATTTTCCTTCTACTTAGTAGTTGCCTTACCATAGGTACAAAGTTTTCATGTCCTTCAGCTGGGCTCCGCCCTTCACCGGTAAACCCCACCCTTTGGGTTTCATCACCTTGGAAACTGCCAATCAGCAACTCCTCAAAGGCACCATCCCCTGATGACATCGCGCTAAAGGCTAGAACATTAAAAATTAGGGATGTAATTGAGCTCCTTTTAATTAAAATGGTTAAACCATCAAATTTGAGGCACCGTTACATAAATGAGTCATTTAAATTATGACAGAAAGTTAAGCCCTTTAAATAAACATGGATGCTTGTTCAGCTTACCTTGTTGTTAAAATTGCCCTGGTCTGTATGCGTTTCCTTTTTTTCTGAGATGGAATTAGAACATTCGTCTTCTTTTCAGTCAGCAGAAAGCATCCCACTGCTTCTCCAATAACAGCAATAAACTTACCAAGGATACAGAACGCCTAACCTTCAGTCTCTTCTTACATCCATGTTCACTTCTCTTCCTAACGATATTATCTCACTGATCCCACATCTCTGTTGATCGCTTTATGTACAGCCCAATTATTTGCTCCTGTTCGTATTCCCAAGCGATGCCATGCTGCGTGTGTAAGCGTAACTCTCGGGGGCATGGTCAGACAGGTGAGAGGAAATCTGATTGGCTGAAGTGGGTGAACAGAGGACTTTCAGAACCCTGAATGTACCAGCACTCCCCCTAGAGACCAATTAGAAGAATAGTATGAAATGTACAGGGATGCTTCTCTGGGCCAAAAAAATGCAGGTGGAAAGACAGACAATAAAAGCATGAAACAGAAAAATTAAAAAGGAAACTACTGCAATGCTGCATTTAATGCAATATAAAAAACTTTTTGCACATAGTTTGTACAATAATACAACTGTATGCTGCATTTGTTTAAAAAACATACTGAACAAGTGGGGAAAAAATGAAGTTTTATTTAGTACAAATCATCTTAAAATTACAAAAGCCATACATTAGCACAATATAACCTAACTGCCTATAATGAGTGATAAAACATCCTTTAAAGGTCACAATAACAATTAAAAAGGAACATTAAAATATAAATGAATTAATGCAAATTGTAAAATATCCCTGATATCTAAATGCAGATGATTCAGGTTAAAATGTAACTTGCATACTGGTAAATTTTTTGGCATTATTACATTACTAAACAGACCAAACAATGTATTTAACTAGACTTTATGAGTGAGATAGCTGTCCATTCGCTGCCTGTAATATTAACAATTAACACAGACCATGTACTTACAGTCACTGAAACCTTATTGTGAGCATAATATGGATGTCATTGTTTACAAAGAAAAAAAATAATAAAAGAAAAATCGGGTAGAGGTGGAAATTTCAGGTCCAGAAAGTAAAATCCAGACCAGGATTTGTTTCAACCAGCCAGATGAGTGACATTTAATAGCCTTTATTGGTTGGTTGAAACAAAATCGTGGTCTGAATTTTTGCTTTATGGACCTGAAATGTCCATCTCTGAATTTGGGTGACAGTAAGATCAATAAAAACACTAATTATACAAAATATACAAACACATGAGAGATGGCAGTATCTGACAGTCTCTGAAAATGCACATGGCAAGGTACAGTCCCGCATGACCTTTCTTCTACCTTAACAGTGACATTGTGGGACAAGTGCCTTCTCCTCTCAGCGATTTCAAAGAGTTTGAACCCAGTTCTTCCTCCGTCCTTTCAGAGATTTTCCACACCTCTGATCCGTCGTGCGAGCTGGATGTCACGGGGGAATAGCGTCACGCGCTTGGCGTGGATGGCACACAGGTTGGCGTCTGAGAACAGGCGGACCAAGAAGGCCTCTGATGCCTGCCGAATAGCAAAGACATCGCTCAGACTTCTCTACACCATATGCTGAGTGCAACCATGTTACTCTGGATGACTACCAATGCAGAGCTCAGCATGCTAATGCTAATTCCCAATACAGACTAAGACAACTCTTAATAATAAAATTCAAATACCAAAATGTCCACTCACGTGTCAGCGAACAATCTAAACACAGGTCACCAAACCAAGGGCTGGAAATGAACCTGCTCTAATAGCCTTCAGAATGATACATTTTGTATTATTTTTCTACTTGCATATATGGGTTGAACATTACATTTGTGTTAGTAACAAACGGAATAAAAGCCTAAACCAGGATTTCTCAACCAGTGGATCATAGAATTGTGGTGGCGAAACATGCTTTAGTCTGAAATGAACCACTGAACAGAAGCAAAACCAAATGCAACCAGAAAAAATTATATTTCAAATTACCAAAACAGGAGTCACACACCCACCCACACACATATATATTTTATATATATGTATACACATACATACACATACAGTGGTACCTCAGAACTCAAACATAATCTGTTCAGAACTCCGGATCGAATCCTAAAAAGTTCGAGTTGTGATCAAATTTTCCCCATAAGAAATAATGGAAAACCAATTAATTGGTTCCCGGCCCCAAAAAGTTACACCTAAATATGTTTTTTTAAGCATTTAAACACAAAATGAACCGGATAAAACAAGAAGAGCATATACTGTACTAAATACATCTAAGCACATTTATCAAAACAGTAATTTATAAAGTAAGAAAATAAATGTATCCAAACAATGTGTAAAGTTAAAAAAAATTATGTGTCCTGCCCCGATCGTCCGCTCTGTGACGACCCTGTGTGGAATCCCCGTGTGATCAGCTGTTTCTAGTTGTTTTCATTAGCCCTCTGTTTTTCCTCTGCGTTTCAATTTGTTTCCCCAGTCCGGTCATTGTATTGTACGTCTGCGTTTTGCCTGCCTTACCTGTAATTAAACCCCGTATTCCCCGATACCCTAACGTCTGCGCCTTTGTTTCCGTTCCGTCCCCGCTCGGCACGACAATATTATTATAATTAAATGTATTCATGGTTTATTATTAATATTAAAATAATTAATGAGAAATCTTTATTTTTAAATGTATTTTATTATATAACAATTACTGTTACTGCCTATCATTGTCTAAACGTATTTTTACTGTCTAAATATATGTATTCAGCGAATGCGAGGCTGAGACTGAAGCGTTACCCTTTGTTTCCGCCGAGAGACGTGCTGCGTGACTCATTTCCCCGTGCGTACAAGTTATCTTAGGTCGGCGTTCACGGTTTGACTTCTGAGATTCAGATCGAGTTCTAGGTAATTTTTTTTCAAACTGGTTGGTTCGACTTTTAAGAAATTTGAGTTCTAATGAGCTCGAGGTACCACTGTGTGTGTGTGTGTGTGTGTGTGTGTGTGTATATATATATATATATATATATACACACACACACACACATATACACACACATATATATACATACATATACATACACACACACACACACACACATATATATATGGAGATGATAACAGTGGAGAATTATGTGGAAGATATTGAGGCAGAAATCATACTTCCTGCAGGGCAAGGAGAGCCAGGCCTTCCCACCTCAGGTGCAGCTTGCTGAAGGTCTGGCACACTTCACGCACCTGGAAAGAATGGATGGGGCACTATGAGCAAGAGCACCCCCTGCAAGTGGGGCACAAAAAACACCAAACAAATATATTTGTTAAGCAACAAAACAATTAAAAATTAATTGTTCAAACTTGGCATAAGAAATTAAACAAAATAGGATAGTGGTAAGAGCTGTCATGATTACTCGATTAAACTTTTCCTTCTCAATTACTTCAAAAAATGGCGGAAGGAAGATGGAGGATGTGGGTCCAGAAAAAGAGTGAAAGCATCATTTGTGTGGAAGCACTTCACGAACCGAAATTTCTTTAAGATATATTTGCATTGCAGTCATGCTGTGGTAGTATTTGAGTTCTGCTTTACAAAACTTATAGATGACTGCATTTTCTTTCACTTTTAATTAAAGATTTCAATATGTGACAAATAAAGAATCTATAATTAAAAGTGAAAAAAAAAGTACAAGTCTTACTAAGTTTTGTTTCCATTGACAGTAAAATTAGTTTGAACCCAGCAGACTATCGTGGTCCTTGCGATGTGACAATGTGCGTAAAATGCCATTTTGATATTAACACCGCAAATCGTGCGAGCCTATCAGACCGGCACAGTTGTGCAGTGGGTGGCGCTGTCGCCACACAGAGCTGCTTTGTGTGTTTGGAGCTTGCATGTTCACCCTGGGTGTGCCTAGCTTTTCGGTGGATCCTCCAGTCTCTCTCCACTGTCCAAAAACATGTAACATAAGTAAACTGGAATGCCTGAACTGACTGTATGTGTGCACCCTTACTGGCTGGCTGGTTGGTTCCTGACTGGCACCAACTACAATGTACATATTATATAATATTATATATAAACAATTACTCAATGAATCCTCAGATTAGTTGGTAGATTTATTGATTATTGATATCATCTTCCTCTCACATTGTTGAGCTGCCAATTATAGGGATGCTCAGGTCGATTTCTTCTACTCAGCATCAGAAGGGTTCATCCATTTCTTTCTTCACAGGCCACTCAGATACTTGTTCAATCAGTCCTCTGCAACTGATTCCAAGTGCAGCTGCCCGATTCGCTTTCGACCATCCCCAGTTCTCCCACACCACACCATTGTTACACTCCCTCCACTGGCTTCCTGTATCTGCCTGCATCAGATTCAAAACACCGAGGCTCGCCTACAAAGCCAAAAAAGGTCCAGCACCCACCTACCTAAAAGAACTTATCACACTGTAAATGTAAATAAATCGATAGATACATCCATAGATGGGGTGTGAGACTGGTGGCCTACCACTCTGGAGAAAGGCGCCTTGCGCAGAAGCAGGTCTGTAGACTTCTGGAACTTGCGGATTTCCATTAAGGCCCGAGTGCCTGGCCGGAACCTCTTCCTTTTCCTCTCAGGACTGCCAGCTGATGTCAGAAAGCTTAGTTACGCACAGAAAACCACAGGACAGGGAACACTTCAAAATGGACTGATCCAGCGGACGGCGTTTCCCCCACCCACTGCCCGTCCCAGCGTAGCACCCCTACCCCATCTCACCTGCCGAAGTCCGCACAGCGGAGGTGCTGGGGCCGCTACGTCGAGGAGACCGGGCAGGGGGCACGCTGGGCGGGGGCTCTCTGCGCTTGGGGGCCGTGGGCTTTCGCCTGTGCTTGGAATTGTGCCGCATGCCTGGGGGGCACTGCTCAGCTAACCGAGTGGTTTGGGACTTTACGGGACGGGTACTGTGAAAAGGCATCGAGAACATGCATTTCAGACAACATACAATGATTTTGGCTGTTTTACATATTTGTTGTCTATAAACAGCAGAGGGTTACTATAATGGATATACATTCAGTTTAGTTTACCCTTGATATGTGCTCCTCAAGTTCCAGTTTAAGATTGAGCGGGTTGTTCAATTCCTTTTATATGAATTGTGATCTGCAGAGATATCACATACAATATTAATGTGCTTAATATTTCAGGCATAGTTATATTAATCTCAAAACCCCATATCATCAAGCTGCTTGCTTAACTATTTAGTTTTACGCATAGAAAACATCGGACCCACAGAAATAGCAGCTTGGTCATAAGGAATCATTACTGTACTACCATTGCAACTGCAATATGAAAGCATATAGGCCATTAAATGAAAATGACCTCGCCATGATTCAGGCATCATTGTTTACAAAATGCTGCTTTTGTTTGCATTCCATTTTTTCTAACTAACCAGCTATATGATTTTGCTTACAACATAGATCTTACATTTAGGGGCGTAGGACCCGGGAGGAGGGATATGTACCCCCCATTATTTTATTTGGATTCATTCACCACCTGGTGTCATAGGGTGACCATCTAACTCATAT